AGTTCAGGATATTTTTGTCCGGGTATTTGTAAAGCTAAAGTCTCGTTGAAAACGGGACGTGCCGGTCAGTCCAGCAGAAAGAGAGCTCAGCAGCATGGATCCAGATTGAAAGACATACATGCACGTGCGCACACACAGCCCTGCAGGGAGACTGCTCGGACCTGGTCAAAGTGTGAACTGCAGAAGACATGCTAAGGGGGAAGTTCACAGGAGCCCTGACATTCGGTTACTCCTGCAATAATTTAAGGCCATCCACCCTTTTCCGAATTTTCAAGTTTTCTCATGTTGGACTAAATTCTTTGCAGCCTTGTAGCTTCTACCATTTCCAGTACACAGAAAGGGGAAAGGAAACATGAACATTTTAGAGGTTTCATTTGTTTTGTTCTTTTTGGGGAAAAATGGAGATCTGGATTTTAACATGAAACTTCCAGTTCTTAGAAAATAACGTTCTCTGTCACCGACTTGGTTTTGTGTGTGAAAGACTGGATTGCACTCCTTATCCCTGACTTGGTTTTGTGCGTGAATGGCTGGATTGCACTCCTGTGTGATATCATAGGCTAGTTTTTTTTTGTTTGTTTGTTTTTCTGCAGAAACCAACAACCCACCAAGGGCAGTGGCTTAAAGCAATCAAATGCTGTTTTCTTGCTAATGCCCCTTGCCAATGTAGACCATTAGTGTAGTGAGGAGCGGCCGGCAGCGTACAGAAGACTCTCCCACATCACATTAGGATATCTGCTCTTGTAATGTTGCAGGGACCCAGGCTGGTGGAGACTTTATCCTAACATCACACTTTTAGCATAGCTACAGTAGACAGAGAGACCACGAGACTCTCATGTTGACTCTTCAGCCTTCTTAACAGAACTGACACAGGCCAATTGGGCTCATATTTTACTGGTCAAAGACAGTGACAACAGGTCACTTCTTTAGCAGTTTCAGATATGGGTTCCATCGCATGGGGCAGACTTTAAATTTGCTCCGAAAACCTGGTTGATTACTCCCATGACATTTGGGCGACAATGCTCCAGCATATCTTGCAGGCAGGTTGCTGCTGCAGGTCCCATGTTTGTAGCTGTGTGATAGCGATGCTTGCTTTTCTTCCCCAATAGTATATACAGAGTTCCTTCCAGGACCATGGTCACTAGTCTGTTGGGATAAAGCGTCCAGTTAGGCACCAGCTCAATTTCAAATTTTCTCTGAAGTAATATCCAGTTTTCAGAGGTATCAGACAAAAAGTTCATTCAAAAAATTGTTTGGCTCTTGAAGAATTAAATTTGATTTATCTGGGAAAAATCCACATTTTGCTTCATTTGGATTAATGGCACTTACTTAAGCTCCATCTGCCTGAACTTTGCAACGGTCTTTGCTGAGTTTCTGTTTATAGACGACTATGCCTTCCAAGAACCACTGCTCATATTTTTAAATCTGTGTTTATGTTATCCTATGTCCTGCAACTTTAAACTTCCTCCTTAACTACCCTACGAGATAAGAATCGTGTCTTAGTGATTTATACTTTTAGGCTTGGCATTACAGCAGAGAATAATGTAACTGATGCTAACATGCTTGATGCGTTTATCAGTTAGTAGTTTATCAATCACTGTAATTAGGTATCTTGGCATTAGGCGATGTCACAGAAGTTGAGAACACTTCAGATAATATTGTAGGAGTTGCTTCTAGCGCTCTGTGGAGGCTCTAGAGAGCCAGGGTTCGGCCGGCCTCAACATCGAGGGCTCTGGCTTACACTTGATGAATCACAGGCAATCAGACCTTTTCAAATATCATTTTTCTGTGATGTTTTCACATGCTTTGTTTGGCTGTGAGATCTGGATGGATTTTAACTCTTTAAAAAAAATCAGGAAGCAAATACAAGTGCTCGGGAGGGATCCGATTGCCCAAGATTTTGCAAGGCCCCGAACACCCTTCAAAATAAGCCCATCCTCGCTTTTCAGCACACGCCCTTCCTGGATGAGCAGGGAGAGGGTGGCTCTCATCCTCATGAAACGCATGAGCGCTCGGGGACAGCGACATGTGAGGACAGAGCTTGGCCCAGGAAGAAGGTGTCTATAACTTCATGGCAGAATTATTTCCCATGGGGAAAGTTTCACGAAACGCAGTTACTCACTGGTCCGATCCCAACCATGCTAGTATGTTTCCAGAATCCATCACCCTTAAGCGGTTCCACATGTGCCTGTAAATATCCACAACAGTCCTCTGTAGCAGGGTTCCTCGCTGTCTTTCTGCCGAGAGCAGAGGTGCGTGAAGGTGCGGAACACTGTTGGGATTCTGCTCAGAGCAGCGGTTCTAAACCCATGGATCCTGATTCCCTCCGGAAGGCTCACATATCAGATATCCTGCGTATCAGATTTTTACATCACAATTCGTAGCAGTAGCAAAACTGCAGTTATGGAGTAGCAACAAAATAATTTTATAGTCGGAGTCACCACAACATGAGGAACCATATCTTATAATACAGTTGCAGCAATGCCGGGCAGTGGTGGCACACGCCTTTAATCCCAGCACTCGGGAGGCAGAGTCAGAGGCAGGTGGATCTCTGTGAGTTCGAAGCTAGCCTGGTCTACAAGAGCTAGTTCCAGGACAGGCTACAAAGCTACAGAGAAACCTTGTCTCTAAATAAATAAATAAATAAATAAATAAATAAATAAAGTCATAGCATTAAGGAGGTTGCGAACCACTCACTGGCTTAGAGGATCGGGGGTTTAAAACTATTACTGGCACCGTGTACTCTCTGTGCCGTGGGGACAAGCCATTCCGCTTCAGCCGTGTGCTGACAGACTCCTTATTTGTAAGATGACGATAAAAGATCCCACCAATAAAAGGTCCTAAGACTGATGCAAGGAAGGAGTGAAAAATCAGGGGCAACATTTGTGGCACAGTGCCAGACATGTGGTAAGCATCCAATCAAAACCAGCTCGCTGTTACAGGGCTGGTGGGTGAATCTCTGCCTGAGTTTGGATCCTTCGAACTTACATAAAGCTGGATATGGCAGCTTGGATTTAGAATCTCAGCTCTGGGGAGGCAGGAGTAGGATGATTCCCGGAAGTTCGTGGGTCAGGTAAGGAAGGCAAGGACCAAAACCCAGTGCCCTCTTCTTCTTTTTTTTTTTTTTTCGAGACAGGGTTTCTCTGTGGCTTTGGAGCCTGTCCTGGAACTAGCTCTTGTAGACCAGGCTGGTCTCGAACTCACAGAGATCCGCCTGGCTCTGCCTCCCAAGTGCTGGGATTAAATGCGTGCGCCACCGTCGCTTGGCTCCAGTGCCCTCTTCTGAACGTCACATGTATCTCCTGATAGTGTGCTCCCAGACTCACATGTTAACATACATGCAACATACAAAAAAAAAAAAAACAGCTTTCCCCAATACCTTCTTTAAAGTGATCTTATTGGGATGGAAGGGATGCAAAAGCTATTGAATCCAGCAGCTAGTTTAATGCCCGCTGCAGCTTTCCCACCAAGGAGCCCGGCTTGGAGACTCTCTCCCGTCTGTGTAGAGAATGCTGAAGGGTGTAGCTTTTGCTGGTGGTGATTGCACAGAGCAAGTGTAGACCCTTCCCTCCCAGCATCCTGGGGTGAGGCTGCCTTGCTCTGAAACCTTCTCCCTTGAGCCTTCCCTTCAACACCAGCATTTCGGAGACACTCGCCTATAGATGTGGTTTGAGCGCCATCCAATCCCTCTTTTCTCTTCAGCACCTGGAGTGTAGAGTGATTTGACAGCTCTGCCAAGAGCAGCCCACAGGCTCCCGGAGTCCAAATGGACAACAGAGAAGCAGTCAGAGTGACCCTTGGTCAGAACCCCATAGAACGTTCCATTGGTGTACTGCTCTGAGGGAAAAAAAAAAAGGTCCTGTAACTCTTGCTTGATTGTCTGTGAAACGCACATTGGCATCTTTAGCTCTGCCTCCCTGTGGAGGAAAATAAGTCTCCTAGAGTCTAAAATGCCCAGCATCCTGCATTTTGATAGACGCGGCGGGTGAGTCAGGATGTGTCATGGCCGTCTGTCTCCAAAGTCCCCCACTTCAATGCTCGTTGGGTGGCCGTGGGAAGTAGAGACAGACTATTAGACTGGTTAATATCGCTGGGCAATCTTTACGCACAAGTCCTATGGTGAAATCGGAAAGAAACACAAAACACAGCCCTTCTCCCGGAAGGAGGGTTTCACACTAACACACACCACAGGCATAGGAACACAACAAACTGAAGACAGCAGTGAAGCGTGTCTCAGAACATAAATCCCAGGTTTTCTCCTTAAGAGCATTTGTAGACAGATGGATATTGCTATTTGGAGGTGGCAGCCTTGGGTAAGAGCAGCTCGTGATACAGAATTGTAGACGGACCGGTACAGATGAAGGATGTATCTAGGCTTCTGTGTTGAAGCAGATGTAGAGAAGTACTGTGGGCCCGGGACACAGACCGCGTGCAAGAAATGAGAATCGGGCAACGGTAGGGTTGGAGAGAAAGGGGGGGAGTAGGAAGGGGGCCTGGGGATGTGGCTCGGTTGGTGGCAGCTGGGTCCTCGGCACTGCGGGAACCAGATGTGCTGAAGCAAGCCTGACTCTCAGCACGTGGAAGGTAGAAGCTGAAGGACAAGACACTCAGTGTCATCCTCAGCTACACAGCAAGTTCAAGGCTGTCTGGGCTGCAAGAGAGCCCATCTCAAGGAAAGGCAAGGGGGTGGGGGAGAAAGGGGGGAAAGAAAAATCTTTTGCAGGTATCTGAGATACAATTAAAGGACAGTGGGGTGCAGGGAGACAGTTGCAACCATGTGATTCTGGGGGCCTGGGGAAAGGAGGGAAGGGAGGGGGAACTGTGGTTGGTATGTAAAATAAATAGAAAATTTTAAATAAAAAAAAGAATCATATAGATGATCTTAGACTCTAAGACATCCCATCGGTGACATTTACAAAGCAGTGTGCTCAGAAAGACAGCCAGCCTATAAGCTGAACAGGACAACATCCTAAGTGAGATGCCTTACCCCCTCTTTCCCACAGATGGTGGGCTGCGACCGACAGCTGGGAAGTACCGCCAAGGAAGACAACTGTGGAGTCTGTGCGGGAGACGGCTCCACCTGCAGGCTGGTGCGGGGCCAGGCCAAGATGCACCTGGCTCCAGACAAAAGTAAGTTTTGCAGCCCAGTTCCGAGTTACTGCAGAACAGGCTGTGTTTCCATTCCTACCAGAGCAGCGTGTTCCCAACGCTGAACTTGTCCGGGTGAAATTAACTTTGGCCGCTTTTCAGAAAGTCAGATTTCTTTCTTTATAAAAATCATTGTTATTTTTCAAGTTTCTATTTTGAAAGAGTGTGTAAAAGCTGCTTCTACCAGCTCTTTAAAGGTTCCTCCCCCCTTTTTGGAGCTTTTGTCATTACAAAATCTTGCAATTTTAAAAACATTTGGTAGTTAATTATTAAATAGCCTGAAGTATTTTTCAAGCAAACTGGGGTCATAATTTCACCTTATTTGTCTTCTTTTGGTTGTGAACAAGACAGAAAGTGATGTAATATTTGTTTTATTTTTCATTTTTGGTTATCTATTGAAGCCATCAATCTGCCTTACCATTTCATATTTTTTATTGTTGTAAATTTTTGCGTATCAGGAATGCTAAACTTTAATCTGTCACACCTATTTCAAATGTGGCTTCCAGCTTGTTATTTCATTCTTATCTCTGCTTGTCTTGCGGAAGCAATGCTTTCGAGGCCTTATTTATTCCGATGTCTTGTCTTCTCATTTCAGGGGTCAACTGTGTATGTACTAATGGCCAGCCAGTAAATACTTTAAGCTTGGCGGGACATAACACCTCTGTCCTGGCCACGCGAAGCCATTGTCCTATAGAAGCGCGCGCGCGCGCGCGCACACACACACACACACACACACACACACAGCTGTGTTCTAGGGAAACTGAATTTAAGATAAGCTACAGGGGTGAAGCTGCCCCTCAAGTAGGAGCCTTTTCTGACTCTGAAGAAGAATGTTCACGCATGTTTCCAGCCGGTATTTCTATGTTTTTCTATCTTTCTATTTCTTAAATAGTTATTTATATTTTATGCATATACATATGCTTGAGTATGCACATGCAGCACATGTGTGCCAGAGCCATAGAAGCCAGGGCAAGCATGAGACCCCTTGGAACTGGGGTTACAAACACTTGTGAGCTGACATGCGGGCACTGGGAACTGAACACAGGCTGGCCGCCAGGGCTGCCCTGAGCTGTTTCTCCAGCCCAGCTTCTATTGTTGCTTTCTGTCTTTAAATCCTCTATTCATTTTGTGTGTCTGGTTTTGTATAAAGTTGGGATTTTATTTATCCCTCAGTGACGGATACCATTAGAGGGATGGAGGAGAGGTGGAAGAGAAGGGACAAAAGAAGGGTAGGGAGAACAGGAAGCATGGAGGACAGGCGGCCAAAATCTCCCTGATTTATTTATATGAAATATAAATTCCGTATGTGATATAACACTAGAGAAAAAACCTGCTATTTTGTTCGTGTTTTGTGTTGGTTTTGTTTGTTTTAGTTGTTTTTTTGAGACACGGTCTTGCCATGCATCCAGGCTGACCCTTTGGAAGCCTCCTGGGTGCTAAAATTCTAGGCATGCTCCATCACACCAAAGAATCTTGGATTTATTGAGGTCCTGCTCATCTGCCATTCAAGGCCGTATGCATGTCAAGAAGTGGAATAGGCAGAGTGGTGTTCAGGGGCCAACCCCAAAGCCTGTCACCGGTGTGGTTTAATATCCTGGGTCTGGTGGAGTCATCAAAACAATTCAGACAATGGAGTGACTTGGGAGGACTCACAGATCACCCCAAAGACAACCTGGAAGCAGGGGGTTTGAATAGGAAGCATCTTTTTTTTTTTTTTGGATTTTTGAGACAGGGTTTCTCTGTAGCTTTTGGTTCCTGTCCTGGAACTAGCTCTGTAGTCCAGGCTGGCCTCGAACTCACAGAGATCCGCCTGCCTCTGCCTCCTGAGTGCTGGGATTAAAGGCCTGAGCCACCACCACCGGCTAGGAAACATCTTTTAAACCACCCTAGGGCCTTGGCCTGAGGGAGTGAGATGTGGAAGATGAGGTATTTGTAAAGATGCCGAGGAGGAGGAATTCCAGGGTCAGAGTTTGCGGTTCTTTTGAGTAAAGACTGCAGGAAGAGACACAGGACAAAGCAACATTTTCAGCTTGGGCAGCTTGTTGCGCTCATGCGCTCTTCTTCTGAGATCAGGCATCCACAAGAAAGAGTCATCCATCTAGGGCAAGATCCCATCTCCCTGGATTTTGCCTTCTCTCAAGAATCTTGGCTCTCTGGATATTCAACCCTTTATAACCTTCTGTGTTTTCCTATAGCTGTTGAGTGTATTTTGTTTGTGGCTAGAGGCTGGTTAAGAAACATACCAACCCATCATGGTGGATGGGAAGGTGCCCTTACAAGTGGGACTCGGTCATGAATGTGGTTGGGTCCACCCAGGGAGAACACGTAGAACATGAGAAAACCACGGATTGCCCACGAGGAACTCCAACATTTAATCAGAGAAGAGGAGTGGGTCGGTGAACACAGAACTTAGCAAGAACAGAGTCACAGAAGCCAAAGGAACGGGTCACATCTCAAGGAAGTTAAACGCTCTTGAGGAGGTGGCTGGAGTCCAGGACTGCCCCTCCCTCGTTTCTGGCAGTTTGAGAATGTCTGTAGTATCCACAAGAGCGGCATCTGTGAATCTCAGACACACGAGCTTGATCACGGCGAGCTGACGAGGGAAGAGAAGATGAGAACGGTAGAGGGGTTTCCCAAGGGGGAGGAGGGAATAAATTCAGAGCCCAATTGGAGTGCACGATGGAAAATGACTTGTGTCCCATCCTCTCGGCTCTGATTGGCTCCTCACTAGGTAGAAGAGTTGGTCACTGAGAATAAGGGCAGGGAGATGTGGTCACTAGGGGGAAGATGGAACTCACTAATGACAGTAAGAAGATAGAGGGATCGTGGTGAGGGTCAGGTAAGGTTGGAAGCTGAATTCATGGAGGTTCCATTCCGTGGACCTCATGAAGCTGGTGAGTGACAGCTGGTGTGTCAACAGAAATGCACGTGTTGCAAATGTCATGAAATTCAGATTATAAACTTCAACATTAGATGTGTCCTCTGAGAAGAAGTCTGGACTGACGGTCAAAGCTGGGGAAGCTGCTCTTCGCACTTTGTGGTATCTTCCAGGACTCCAGCTCATCTCTCTCCACGTCCTGGGTGGATGTCTTCACGGATGTTCTTCATTTGTCTTCATGGCTACAGAGTTGAAAGTTAGACATCACACCCACCTCCAAGATAAAAATACCTGGTAGCAGAGGCTTTCTCTCAGTTCTGTGTCCTTTATTCAGAAAGAGAAGTCGCCCCTTAGGGCTTCTTGTCACCGACCAGAACTGTAGCATCTGAAACTATTGCTTTTGAGGGGACAGAAACCATCATTATCACTGGTACCAAGACAACATGATACCTTACGATGATCAAAGTTCTCTTCAGACGTATGATGTCATCTCGTGTCACTAGGTCTCTTGCATTCCAGCTTTGATGCTGTCAAACCCATTCAAGACCAGAGATGTTAAGAAACATCTCCACCAAATCAGTTCTAGAAGGGGTGTTGGGGAAGGATCACAGAAGGCTGGGCTGGAGGAGAAAGCACAGCTGGAAGAAGAGATAAGGCAATTTGTAGAGACAGGCTGTCCCGTGAAGGGCTGTGTGTGTGGAGGCCAAGGGTCACCATAAAGTGTCTCCCTTGACTGCTTTTAGTGTTTGAGATGGAGTCTCTCACTCAATCCAGGGCTCACCAATTCATCTAGGTCAGCTGGCCAAAAAACCTCAATGATGGACCTTTCTGTATCTTCAAAGTGCTGAGAATCTTGGCGTGGGCACTTGGCTGTCTGGGTCCTCGGGCTCTGAACTAGGGTTCTTATACTTTTGTGGCAAATATTTTATTGGCTGAGTCGTCTCCACAGCCCGTAGTTTTTCACTATTGATGAGCCCCTCTCCTCTCCTCTCCTCGCCTCGCCTCGCCTCGCCTCCCTCCCTCCCTCCCTCCCTCCCTCGCTCCCTCCCTCCCTCCCTCTAGGTCTAGATCTTCCTGCCTCTCCCCCATCCTTTCCTCCCTTCTTTCCTCACTTCCCAACGCTTCTTTCTCCTTTCTCTCCCCTTTCCTCTCACTGACTGTCAGCTTTTGGAGTACGGATCCTTACAAGAATCTGTTGAAATAGTTGATTGCTTTTAAAAAGAAAACAGGGTGCAAAGTTGGGTGGGGTGTGAGTGGGTGGCCTGGGAGGAGCTGGTAGAGCGAGGGACATGATCAAAATATACTGTAAGAAATTCCCAAAGAACTAAGGAAACATTTCCTTCAAGTTATATGTTTTCTCTTCAGGAAAATCTCTCTCTGTGTGTATATAAGCCCCAAATTTGTGATTCTGGCTTTCTTTTTTTCTCTTTTTCCTTTTGTTTGTGTGTGATATGTGCACGTGCTTGTACATGTGTGTGCAAGTATAGACACTCACCTGGGCACGTGTATGCTGAGGCCAGAGGAGGAATTCAGAAGTCCTGCTTCGTCATTCTCTTCCTTGTGCCCATGTGACAGGGTCTCTCACTGAACCTGGAGCTGGCCATTTACTCCCTAGACTGGCTGGCCAGCAAGTTCGGAGAGCTTCCTGCCCACTTGGGACACTGCTAGTTAAGAATCCCAAAAAGTGTCCAGTGTTTTTGCTCAATTTCTGTACAGAAAGGAGAGCCAGGGTGCTTAGGCAGATCCTTTGCCAGAAGGAATGGACGCTGTGGTGAGATCTGGCGCTGTGGTGAGATCTGGCGCTGTGGTGAGATCTGTCGCTGTGGTGAGATCTGGCGCTGTGGTGAGATCTGGCGCTGTGGTGAGCACTGGCGCTGTGGTGAGATCTGGCGCTGTGGTGAGATCTGGCGCTGTGGTGAGATCTGGCGCTGTGGTGAGCACTGGCGCTGTGGTGAGATCTGGCGCTGTGGTGAGATCTGGCGCTGTGGTGAGATCTGGCGCTGTGGTGAGCACTGGCATCTCATTCGCTTGGAAGCCCACGTGCCAAGACTAAGGCTAAAGGTAGCATGCTTGCGTGAAAGCATGGTGCTTCCTCTTCTTGATT